TCGCAGCATCCGATCCGTTCTATATTGGGATACTCCCATTTTTAGCTTGGATGTAAGTTAGTGAATTGGGCGGTCACTTCCCGTGTCTGTTGTTATTTCTTCTTCTTCTGCCACTTGCTTCTTCTGCTTGTCTTTCTGTGTCGCGTCATACTTGTCGATGAGCCGTGTCCGTGGCGATTTCCTCGTTCCTCGTTATTTCTCTCTCAAAAGTCGCGTCGTTTTCTGCATAATCCCTGATAATGGCAGGTTCAAGCTCATTTGAGCCCTGTGAACGCGTCGACGGGTTTGCATTATCCTAATTGCTTGGTTATAAATGCTGATCTACTTGCAGTCCCCAAGCCTGGCAGGAGTATCGCCAGGGGGGTGATCAAGGCAGCGTAGCGGGCCTAGACGGGCATAACAGTAAGTTTCCGTCCAATTCTGACTCGAGTTTGTGAAGAGCTAATCCTTATATAGGCCCAAAAGAGGGTCTGTTCGAGGACGGAAATAACCGTCGGCAACGGGGCCTGTTGCATAAGAAGAGCGCGAGTGAGCAGTCGGTTTACCGATCTCACCAGCGCTCAGGCAGCAGTAGGCGAGAACGACTGCCATTTTTCGGCAGGAAGGCGACCTCGAAAACACCGGACGAACAATCTCCAGTTGAAGCACGTGCCACCAAGGCGGGCGACTCTCTCCGTCGAAGGCGACTCTTCCGTTCGCACACTTACCCTTTTGGTCGTAACTTCCACAGACACTCGCCGCGTACTGGAGGCTCGGACTCCAAGATTGGTTCGGCTCTTCAGAACCTCTTTTGGCCAGGACGGTCCAAGGAAGAAGAAGAAAGACCGGCACCATCGAGATTGACCCTTGCTGACCCGTTCTTAATCAGCGTGCCTCCCCTTACCATTGCTCCCTTATCCACCCACTTCCCCAATTTCTACGAACATCGTCGAGCTCAAGTCTTACCGTTTGCACAAGGTGTTTGTGGAGCTCCCACTGGCTACTACTGGGATCCTTCCTCCCCCCTCTCTCCACCCTTCATCCATACTCCACCTCAATTTCCTCCGGTGAATTTCCATTCCCCTGGAAACCCTCTCGGTCCTCCCATCACGCCTATCTCTCCTACTGAGTGTTTTCCACCATTTGATTGTGAGTCTCCAGGTGCCCAACCTACTCTCCCCTTTGTACCCTCGGACGACGCTGGGAATCATCCTAGTCCCGAGACTTTCATCCGGCCCCGCCAGCCTTCTATCTGTCAACAACCTGTTGATTCCCCAGTGGCTTACAAGATCATCCGCTACCCTCAGAGCATTCCGATTCCACCATGGATCCCTCACGTGGATCGCGCTTTTTGGACCCGGCGGTGGCTGCCCTCTCCAAGCATAAGGCCGAAGCCATAAAGCTTGCTCGCGAACAGGGTGTTGCTGTCCGAGAAATGTGCCGCAGAGCCAAAACAAACACACCCCCTTATGAATTCGAGGAGTTGATCGGAAAGGGCTCATACGGACGCGTCTACAAAGGCCACCAGCTTCCCTCCAGTAAGGTCGTTGCCATTAAGGTGATGGATATTGATTCTGTGGACTATCAAACTGTTCGTGACTTCAGAGATGAGTCAATCAAGGACTTTATCCACGAAATTAGGGTGATGAAGCAGGTCAAGGACGCGGGTGCGAGGAACATCAACGAACTAATCGAGGCAATCTCCATCCACTCCCAACTATGGCTGGTTTGCGAATACTGCCCTGGTGGTAGTGTTAGAACCTTGGTGCGTGCATTCTCTTTGCCATTCTCTGCCTTCGTAAGCATATTTTCTATCTGTGTGCTAATGTCATTCTACTGCAGATGCGAGCGACCGGCGACCGGCTTGAGGAAAAGTTTATCATCCCTATCGCTCGAGAGCTTGCTGCTGGGTTACGCGCCATTCATGATGCCGGCGTCATCCACAGAGATATTAAAGGTAGGCAACTACCTTAAAGCTACCGGGCTTGCGACTGACTATCTAAAGCTGCCAATATCTTGATCCACGAGGAGGGAAGGCTGCAAATTTGTGACTTTGGTGTCGCCGGAGTGCTTCAATCCCAGATGGACAAGCGGTCCACTTGGATTGGGACACCACACTGGATGCCGCCCGAGATGTTTGCGACTCGCGGTGAAGCCCACAAGTACGGTAGTGAGGTGAGATCTACGCCTTCAATTAAACTTTTTCATACTGACTGCTATAGATTGATGTTTGGGCCTACGGTTGTACCCTGTTTGAATTTGCCACGGGCAATCCCCCTAACTCAAATCTTCGCGAACGTATGCAGATCGGCAGACAGATCACTCGCAACACTCCGAAGCTGGACACCGATAAATATAGCGACGGTCTTAAGAGCATCGTTTCATTTGCCCTGGAATCCAACCCGGTCACTCGCCCCGGTATGGCAGATATATTGACACACCCTTACGTTGCTGATACTGAGGACGCATATCCTACTGCGTCCCTCAGCGAGCTGGTCCGCATCTATTATCAATGGTCACAGCGTGGTGGTCAACGCATTTCTCTCTTCCACCCTGGAGGTGCTGCTGCAGCAGAAATCCCCGGCAAGAAACAAGATTATGAAGAGGACTGGAACTTTAGTACGACAGATGGTTTTGAGCGTCGCTTCTCAGTTATTGATCTTGACCAACTGGCCGCCTCTCTGGCGGAGATGGAAGATCAAATTAGTCCAACCACGGTGCCTAGCTCGGATCATGAATCATCTGAGGACGGATCGGACAAGGACATGACGCCGGAGGACAAAGCGAACTTTGACGAGCGTGTGCGTCGGGGAGCTGCGGCGATGGAGGGCCTCTTCGATGAAGACAAGCCAAGCTACAAGTATGAAACCAAGAATGACTTCGTCCCAATCGAGCCAAAAGCCCCTACGTCGGATCTTCCGCTTCGCACTGATACCGATCGATCATCAGTCACCTCGACATTTATTGATATTGACATTGGCTCCTTTGATTCTTCACACTATGCTGCCGGAGCAACCTCAGCCCAGCCATTTCAACTTGCCGATGCGGATACTATTCGAGCGAATCGGACGAGTGGGCGTCAGCACCGGAACTCAGTTGAAGGCCGTTCGCGTTCGTCCAGCAGCGGTGTGAGTAGCAACCGGGGCTCCGAAGATATGACGTTCCAGCCCCAAACTGGACCTCGTCCTCCTACAATGGACTGGAAGTTTCCTGTGTTCATGCAACCTCCAACGGAGGAGGCTGAGCCAGCCAGCCCACCAGAACCAGAGACGAAGCCGGCTGAGCCCGACACATCCGATAAACGAGCAACTATGGAATGGACATTCCCCGTCATGACAGCTCCAGCAAATGATGGGGGCGCCAGTAGCGACAGCTTTACGGATACTAGCCAGTATGATACCCTGAAGGCACCGATTGTGGAGAGCCAGCCTTCAGCCACAGTCCGGCGCTCTAGTATTGGTGAGCCCGGGGACTCCCGGCCATCTACGTCTCGATCCGGCGAGTCCAATGGATCTGAGACTGACTATGACCCCTTTCGCTTTGATCGACCTTCCACACCACCCAGTCAGGCGCCCGCGGACCCAAAAAGTCTTGAATATCCCCAGTTGCTGAATACGTTCAAGTATCCTAACTACGACCAGTCCATCATTATGGACGGCCCTGGTCCAGATGAAGAAGAGGAGACGGATGACGTGTGGCAGAAGCCTTCTGAGAACACGGACGATCCCTCTTTGTCTGAACCCTTCCCGACCGCAATCCCCACTAAAAGCATCGACCTCAGCCTCCCCTTCGTCCCGTCTGCTAGTTCCTCCGTATCGGACTCCTTGCCTACGGCTCGGACCAATTTTCCTTCGCTCACTACTGACGATGGAGAGCCGATCCTGTTCCCCGAGCTCCCTCTGCCTCAGCTTGAGCTCTTCATGGCTGGTGCGAACGACCACGCGATAGCTGGGGAGTTGGATCGACTGTTAGAAAGCTTCATTGACTCGTTGAATTCCACCGGACAGGCTTTATCTAGAGTCAAACTTGGTCCGGAGGTGAAAGAGGAGGTCAAACCAGAGGCTGAGTAGGTGGTTAGTCTTTGGCTGGTTTCAGAAAAGAACATCTCGGACTGCTGGCGTCGTACGGTTTCTGACTGGTAAAAGCACTTGTCGTTGAGGGCTGTTGGGCATATTTCGGTGTTCGTGCTGGATGATACGGTTGAGCAAAATGATGTAAATTGAATTTCTGCAGTCACAAGGAAACCATAGTATCTGATGTATGCTGTCAGTTTGACAGCCTGTCGTAATGAGTCTTCAGCATTCACTGCCGGTCAGGCCCAACTTACGTATAGGAACCCACTGCAACATTATCTTATCAACAAACATTGCAATCACGATCCAGGTGTAGATAACTACTGTATAATCCCGACCCTCGTGGCTCGACACGAAACTCAACCTCGTCACGTCTGGACGTGACGCGCGTCATGAGGTGGATGCATCTCATTGCCATTTCTATATCCGTTATCTAACTGCAAAGCAACGACTCCTAATCATTCTCCTTCAACACCTTCGGGACTTAGTAACCCCATGACCCAACTGACAATCAACAACCTTTAACCACATGTCCATATAGACATACACACCCAAACCAAAATGACCACTCGATCAACTACATCCTCAACCCCATCTCCATCTCCATCTCCAACCTCCCACCCAACAACCACATCAAGAACCAAGACATCAGGAACCACAAATTGGCCCCTCACCCTCCGCACAATCAAAAACCTCTATACCTCTCACCACTACCGCCAATGCATCGCCCACGCAGCAGAACATTTGTCTCTAACGGAGCAGCCGGTACAGTCAAGACTATTTTATCCTATCCTATCTCTATCCTTTTATTTTATTTTTCTTTCCTAACTACGAGAATATACTATATTACTTTGAAATCTCTGAGATCATGTGCTAACAAGATTTCTCCTAATGATCGGATGGTTTTTGTGTGGGGTATAGATATACAAAACTTATCTCACATTCTACATGGCTGTTTCATATGAAGGGATGGGTCTTGCAGCCCATCAGTTCTCCGGTCAGAAATTGCCTCTTTTGCAGGCTGCTGTGGAGTGGTTTGGGGTTTGTGAGGGTGTCCTGGAGGAGGTGCAGGGTGGTTGGGATGGTGGCAGTGGGGTGCTGATGTGTGAGGAAGATGGTGATCCGTTTGTGGAGTACCATCGTCGTCCTGATCATGATTATGATGGGGAAGATGGTAGAAAATGGGATGAGGAAGAGGAAGAGATGCTGTTCTCGGGGGAGAGTGACAATAGCTTCGATTATACCAACACCACTATCTCGACGTATAGTGAGGTGTCGTTTTTCGATGACGGTGGAGAGGGAATTGAGGATGGGGATGAGCGTGGTCTTGTTCCTTCACCATTGAAGGTGCGGAAGGTGTCTGGGGAGTCGGTTGGAGGTAGTAGCTCTCTGCAGGGTTCCGAGGGTGAGAACCATGCTATGGGTGTGGCTAAGGCAGGAGTTGGGGTTTCGTTGCCATTGCCGTTGAGGATCGCTGCCCCCACTACTTCTGCGTCTATCTATACAGGTCCCAAGAAGGAAGTTGGTATACAAATGTGGCAATCAGTCAAGACACCAGCTTACAAAGGCGAACTACAGACCAACACAACAATCGTTTTCCTCCGTCAGCAGGTTACTTCAAGTATTACCACGCTGCATAGAATGATCACGGACGTGGCTGAGATGCAGTATGCACGGCGCATGTCCAAGGGCATGCGACGATCCGGATCCTTTTGGAGCTTTAGTCCGGTCAAGGAGAAGCATGTTGCTGATGGCGATGACATTGGAAGGGAAAAGTCTTCGTTTGGGGTCAAGGAGAGTACAGAGCAACGAATTGCGAGATTGCGAAGGGATGGATGGCAGACGGTGGGAATCCGGGGACAGAGAAGTGGATGGAAGGGGGAGGGCTATTATCGGGAGTATTGTGAGCGAGTGTTGGATGAATTGTATTTGGGAAGATCTTGAGATTGATCCATGATGGCCATGATGGTTTAGGGGAATTTGGTGTTAGTTATGGTTTATGATAGGATGTTTGTTAGTGTCATTATACCCATTATGGTAATACAGGTGCTTGCTCAATGAATTGGTTGAGCCTCCTTCAAGATGAAGTCGCAAGTCAGACAGCCTAATTAAGCCCGTGTAGTAAGTAATCAAGGAAACTAGCTAATTGGAATTTCCACGAGGCTAGCCAGGAAACCTGCATTCAGCCCGAGTGGAGAAGGACAGGAATCATCCGAAGAGAGCAGGCCGTCAGTCAGCCTGTCAGGGCTAGACGGTGATCCAATGAACCGGCGTCAATCCGGCTAAGCATCCCAGATGAGATTTTAGGCTGCATCTCCGCGCCAATCCTTTTAAAGGGGGCCAAAACAAAAAAGAAGAAAAGAAATAGTTAGTATCAGAAACTTGGCGGACATAGCCCCTTTTATATTGTGACCAATATGTCTCAGTTCGAAGACTGGGAGTGAAGAAAAAATAGTTAAAACGAATACGACATTCTTCATTATGTTTCTTTTCTTCTTGTGTGTGGCTGGTGCCCAAGGCACAAAGCGCCAAAATAATTAGCTCCAGGGACTGACTGTCGGCAATGTTTCAGCCTGGAGGAGAAAGGCGTGTCAGCATTGGCCCGCTGGCCGATTTCAGATTTGGGGGCCCGTTTCACCCTAAGCCGCTTTTTATTCTAGATTCCCTCATTTTTCAGGGCGAAAAACTCTAGTACCAGAACATATCACTTGCATGGAATGTGATGGTCATAATCATGTAAAAAGCATCAGGCTGTAAAGTTGGTAATGTGTCAATACGGACGGATATCCAAACCCGAATTACACTGCATTATGTAGTAATTGAACACCAGACCTAACTAATTGTGACTATGGGACTGCTGCATCCATGGATCAGCCTAAGCCTACTAAAATGCGCTGCCTGGAGGAGCATCAGCCTTGCGTGGCCGCTCCATCACTCCGACCTCCACCATCCAATCCCTATAGATAGGATTTCCCTTCGAGATTGAGCCCCGCTGAGAGAAAACCCCCCGTGGCTGTGCTGGGCAGCCATGGGATTAATGGGTTAAACTCTATCGCCGGGCCAGAACTTGACCTTTTTCTCGCTCTCTTTTCCCCCCTCCTTAACCAGATTTATTCCCTTTCTTCTTTCTTCTCTTCTGGTCCAGTTTCAGCTGTCTATCAACTGTTTAGCCTCCTTCCTTTTTTTTCCTTTCCGACCGACAACAACAGCGCATTGCATTGCCTTGCTTCACCTTGGCCTGCCAGAGTCTTGCACGTGCGATAAGCAGCGACCCCCCGATCAGGTACCGTGTGTTTACCCAGTTAGTTACTTAGTCTTAGTCTTTTTTTTCCTTACCCCCTATCGGTGGATGGAGGGATTTACCCACCATCAATCAGCCTTCCCCCCTCCCACCCTCCACACGGACACTGTCGCTGCTCGTGTACGGAAGTTAATCCCACCAAATACTTACTTCTTCCGTCTTCCTCCCCCAGGTTTCTGTTTTTCAACCTTCATCCTCAAATCCTCCAAACGCGACTTTCGCGATCTTGACACTTTCGAATCGCCCCGCTACCAACCTCCCTCACGTGCGGGGTTCCCATTCAGCTTCGCGCTCGCTGGTCTCGAGCCCACCGCACACTACTTACTACTCACGGATTAACCCCCCTTCCTAGGGCCTTCACTAAGGCCCTTCTACTCCAGTCACCATGAGTTGTAGGTCTTTACCTTTCTTCGTTTCCCTTCTCTTGTTTTTCTTTCGTCGCCGATCAGCCATTCGTTCATTCCACGATGGCATACACTTTCATTAGCCCAGCTTGCCATTGACAGCCATTGATTGGTTTCTGTGCTATCGCGCCCGGAACGGCAGCCTCATGTCTTTCATGAGCCATGTCTTTGTCTCTGATGTCCACCATCACCTGGGGCCATTGCGTCCATGCAGGTGGCATGCTCATCCTGTTCTGGCTCTTCGGTTCGATCGTCCCATCACTACTTGCCCTGCTTGCACCCATCCACCTCTCTGGTGATTTTATTGAGCGGCTATACCAGTTCTCTCTGTTTCTGCAAGTCCAAGCGCTGACCAATGGGTGATTTCACAGTCCATAATATGCTCAACAAGCTGTCGGGACAGCCCGAAAGCTACGAGAAAAAGTACGATAGGATCCTCCTCGCGTCCCCTTACATCTGCAGACATATAATAACCGCTGTGCAACCCGTTGCAGGTCCCACTACAAGTTCGGACGCACACTCGGCGCTGGTACGTACGGTATCGTTCGTGAGGCCGACAGCAGCAAGGGAAAGGTCGCCATCAAGATCATCCTGAAGAAGAATGTCCGGGGCAACGAACGCATGGTCTACGATGAACTAGAGATGCTTCAGGCTCTCGACCATCCCAACATTGTCCATTTCGTCGATTGGTTCGAATCGAAGGTCGGTTGCATCACGGATACTCTAGACGGTCCCTTGTCTAACGCTATGGCAGGATAAATTCTACATTGTCACACAGCTGGCCACTGGTGGTGAGCTGTTCGACCGGATCTGCGAGTACGGCAAGTTCACCGAAAAGGATGCCTCTCAGACCATTCGCCAGGTGCTGGGCGCCGTTCATTACCTGCACGAACGCAATATCGTTCACCGAGGTACGTTCAATTAGTTCAGTTGTTCATATTTCAGGCTTGGACTAATCTTGGCATCCACTCTGACTAGACCTGAAACCCGAAAACCTTCTCTACCTTGGTCCCGACCCCCATTCCCCCCTGGTCCTCGCAGATTTCGGTATTGCCAAGATGCTGGATAGCCCGAGTGAGGTCCTGACCAGCATGGCGGGCTCCTTCGGCTACGCCGCCCCAGAGGTCATGCTCAAGCAGGGTCACGGCAAGGCCGTCGATATGTGGTCCCTCGGTGTCATCACCTATACCCTGCTTTGCGGTTACTCCCCCTTCCGCTCCGAGAACCTGTCCGACTTGATTGAAGAGTGCCGGAGCGGAAAGATCATCTTCCACGAGCGCTACTGGCGCGATGTTTCCCAGGACGCCAAGGACTTCATCCTCACCCTGTTGCAGCCCGATCCTTCCAAGCGTGTCACATCCGATGAGGCCTTGAAGCACACCTGGTTGACCGGTGAATCGGCCAGCGACCGCGACTTGCTGCCCGAGATCCGTGCCTACATTGCCCGCTCTCGTCTCCGCCGAGGCATCGAGATTATTAAGCTGGCGAACCGCATTGAGGCCCTCAAGATGCAGGAAGACGATGAGGACATCCCCAGCCCGGTGGAAATGGCAGAGAAGGCTTCTGGCACGACGCCCTTCCCTCAACTCTCGCCCAATGGCAAATCGGATTCCGCGCCAGCGGAGGGCGAGGCGACCGGCACGAAGAAGCGCAGTCTGAGCAAGATTGCCCGCGGCGCCATCTTCCGTGAAGTTGTGCTCGCGAAGGTCCGTGAGGTGAAGGAGAACGAGGAGCGCGAGAAGGTTGAGCGCGAAGCTCGTGAGCGGACCACCCATGCATGAGGCCTGATCGGATGGCGTTGATAGAGACTTGCTTTCTGCTGCTGCACCGGTTCCATTCTTGTTGGGTCACGGACCATCACTGAACTGTTTTCTGTGAATAACTTTCGATGATTCCCCGTCCATATACTGATCTGGCGTATTCTTTTTGCTGTTTCTTGGTTTGCTGAACGAGATGGGACTTTAATGGAGGCTTCGGTTTACGGAGATAATATTCCTTTCTGTGATCTGAATTCATATTCGGCTTGACATGATCTTCCAACTATACGCCGCATGTAGATGACTCGCATCGATGTAATTGCCTCCAAATTGTGATCAGGCAAGTAGAAACAACAGTCTAATCATGACCAAATCAGATGCCGGGATATCACGTGGGAGATGTCCCCAGCGTGATCGGTCCGGGCCAATCAGGTGATGGGGTGCGGCCCCGTCAGCCACCGCCAGCAGATGATCGCCCGGAGATACCCTCGCGGCCCTCTTTAAGTAACTTCCTGTTCCCTCTCTTTCATGTTCCCCTCTGCAGTTCTCTCTTCACTCAGATCTCTCTCGGGCATTCACTACTACTAGATCCCTTAGCACTGTGACTTTTCAGTCTATCACTGCGCCCGCCCCGTCCAACAACTCATCCGCCGTCTCCTCGATCGCCCCGCCCTAAGTTGTAGACGTCATACATCTGTGCGCCTCCACGATCTGACAATTCCTTCCCGACAAGGCTGGCCGACTACTACCCACCAGATCTTCCCTGAGCAATCTCCAGTAAACCGACTGTCACTTCTACCTTGAAGAGGCGCTCTGCCCACCATGTTTGCCGGCAAGCGCCTGAGCAAGGTAAGTCATCATGCCACCTACCACCCCGCTCATCATCTCGACCATTGCAACTAACACAAATCTACAAACAGGAGCTCCTAAAGGTAATCCATTCCTGCAGCATTCACCCTACCAGATCTATCACAACCAATCTCTACACTCCAATGGCGCCCATTCCCTCACAAATCAACTAACCCCCCCACCACAACAGATGAAAGACCACCTCCCCCCCGGGATCACAATCGTCAAGTCCGACAACCTCGAGGAATGGCAAATGGACATCAAAGTCCTCGACTCCAACCCGCTCTACCAGAACGAGACATACCGACTCAAATTCACCTTCAGCAATAAGTACCCAATCGGTATTGTTACCCCCCCACAATTACAATTTTCTCCATGAACAATACTAACGCATTAGTTTTGAAAAATTGTAATAGAACCCCCCGAAGTCCAATTCATCGAATGCCCACCCACCTCCGACCACCCCCGTCCCATCCCCATCCACCCACACATCTACAGCAACGGCATAATATGTCTCGATTTGCTCAGCTCGGCAGGCTGGTCACCCGTACAGACGGTCGAGAGCGTCTGCATGAGCATTCAGAGCATGTTGACCGCTAATTCGCGCAATGAGCGACCTCCCGGTGATAGTGACTTTGTGTCGTATAATCGGAGGAGACCTAGGGATATCAATTTCCATTATGATGATGATAATGTATAGTGTTCTGGGGAGGGGGAGGTGAAATCGGTGGTGGTGGTGGTGGTTGCATTGATATTGGCGCGTGATCTTGATCTTCCATTTCCATTTCATTCACATCATCTTCATGTTCCTGGTTCGCTATTTGCTTTTCTTGCTTGCTTGCTTGATCCTTATCAAGGCGAACAAGGAGTTTAACTGGATTTCCGGATGGAGCGTTGGTATTATGCATGAAATGCATTTACGTGTGGGTTTAATTTTCTTTTTTTCTTGTTTACTTTTTCTTTCTTTCTTTCTTTCTTTGCAGTTACATCTCCTGTCTTATAGATATTACAACATACATACACATACATATTTCGCTACACACTCTCTTCCGTACACTGAAAATTGACCCTATGGTTACATCTAAAATTGTCACGTTTACTTCCCATAAACTACTACTACTTCTACTACTGCACCAAATCCAAAATCATACTCGATGTTTTGAGTCACTATACACAGGGTTTATGGAAGAGAGAACAAGGAGGAAAGAAAAAAAAAAGGGGAGGACAGACACAGTCGACGGAAGCAACATCAGCGACACAGATACAAAGGAAAAAGTTCAACGCCATAAAGCAAAGTAACAAGCAAAAGGACATTGGTACAGCAGGTTGAACCTGGTTTTTGGGGAGATCGCCATAGCCCAAAGGTGGAACTGTTACACAAACTCGCACACAAGCCGAATGTGATGGTAATAGTAGAGACAATTAATCTTTCTCTTGGTATATCTGCAACTTCTAATCGAGATTTTGGCACCAATAAATCAGGGTCATGTGTCTTTGAGCTGTTATACAGGTCTTCGTTGGAGATCAGACGGTCCTATCCTTTTCTACCGGTCAACCTCACCGAACACAAGATCCATCGTTCCTAAAGAGAGAAATGTTAGTATGTTGTTGATATGGTCAAGGCACTTTGGGTATAGCTTACCGATAATAGCGACAGCATCGGCCAGAAGGTGGCCGCGAGACACTTGGTCGAAACCACCCAAGTGAGCAAATCCAGGAGCACGGATCTTGCAGCGGTAGGGTCTCTCGCTACCGTCACTGACAAGGAACACACCCATCTCACCCTTGGGAGCCTCAATGGCGGAGTAGGTCTCACCCGGGGGAACGGCGTAACCCTTGGTGAACAGAAGGAAGTGGTGGATCAGAGCCTCCATGTTCTCCTTCATGGCCGCACGGGGAGGGGGGGAGATCTTGTAGTCCTCAACACGGACGGGACCAGCGGGCATCTGGTTCAGGCACTGGTGGATGATGCGCAGGGACTGGCGGAATTCCTCCATACGGCAGAGGTAACGGTCGTAGCAGTCACCGTTGACACCGACGGGCACGTCGAACTCAACCTTGTCGTAGGCATCGTAAGGCTGGGACTTACGGATATCCCAGGGGACACCGGAACCACGCAGCATGACACCAGTGAAACTCATGTTCAGGGCATCGGCAGCCTTGACAACACCAACACCCTGGGTTCTGGCCTTCCAGATACGGTTATCCGTGAGCAGTTCCTCGGTCTCGTCAATGCGGTCACCGAACTGAGTGGCCCACTGGTAGATATCGTCGAGGAGACCAAGGGGCAGATCTTGGGACACACCACCAGGGCGGACGTAGGCAGCGTGGAGACGGGCACCGGAGACACGCTCGTAGAATTCCTATATTCAAGAACTCATGTCAGTCATTGCGGCTAGCACACAGTTCAGAATGCCAGAAAACACCTACCATGAGCTTCTCACGTTCCTCGAAACCCCACAGGAAAGGTGTCAGAGCACCAACATCCATCGCGTGGGAAAGGACGGACATGAGGTGGTTCAGAATGCGTGTCATTTCACCGAACAGTGTCCGGATGTACTTGGCTCTCTCGGGGATCTCAACGTTCAGCAGCTTCTCAACAGCCAGGGAGAAGCACTGCTCGTTGGTCATCATGGAGACGTAATCCAATCGGTCGAAGTATGGCAGGGCTTGCATGTAGGACTTGTATTCGATCAACTTCTCGGTACCACGGTGAAGCAGACCGACGTGGGGATCGGCGCGGACGATCTCTTCACCATTGAGCTCCAGAATCAAACGCAACACACCGTGAGCGGCAGGGTGCTGAGGACCGAAGTTGACGGTGTAATGGCGGATCTTGCGGCCGGCTCCAGTGTCCTCGGACTCGAGGGCGGCGCCCACATCAGCCTCCGAAGGGCCCTCCTTGTTGGCCAGAGATGTGAAGGTCGGGTCGGCCGGGATGAGGCGGGTGGCCTGGTAGCTGGTGGGTTCTGCATACCGGCGAGGCAGCGACGTCGAAATCGTCCGGGATCTGGGGATAGCAGTGTTTCTGGAGAAGCTCGAGGGGCGGAGGCAGAGCCTTTTGGGCGCGCTGCCCGCCAGGCGAGTGAAGGAAGCAGCCATTCGGGAGAGCGGGGAGTGAGGATGAGGGTGAAGCGAGGCGGAGAGCCCTCAATCCAGACGCAATTGGGTTGGAAGGAGGGGGAATTGGCGGGGATTGGAAGCGATGCGGACTGACGCTTGCTCCTCGTTGGATGAGGTTGCGCTTTCCAGGCGAGATACAATTTGGGCAGTCACGTGAGAGGAGCTTATGGTCATCAGCCCGTCTCTGGTTGGTCTGCCGTTAGCCACTTAAAACTCTCACCACTAGTGCCTATTCCCCTTAAACTGCTGGGTGTGTTATATACACCAGTCTCTCCGCCTTTGCGGCCTGCAGAATTTCAGAAAATACTGCCGCTTCCGCCAAAGAACTTTTCGCAGTTGCTCCCTCCACTTTGTCTGTCCCTCTTCCTCCTCCAAATTTCCCCGCGGCTTCTAAGTCCATCGTTCATCATGGCGCCTCTCGTTCCCTCGCAGGAGGAGCTTGATCGCAGAAGGGTATGTTCTGTCTTCCGACCGTGACCTCTTGTTCCTATTTCGTCCATCATACTGACTGCATTGACTTCCAGATCGTTGACATCAACCCAGAGACCGTCTCCAACATCCCCTCCACAGATTTCCCTGGTCATTGGCCCGGCGAGTCGCACGAATGGTCCCTCGAAAAGTTCAAGAATGTACGTTGGTAGTACTCAAGTGTTCGCGCTCACAATGCCACTTCTCCACACAAGTCCCATCAGCTTTGCGCTCACACGTACCTTTTTTTCGCGAACAGGATCTCAAGATCGACTTCCACCGCAACGAGCGTTTCGAAGCCTCCTTCTCTCTCATCGGGGTCGACGCCTCCATTGCCAATGCCTTCCGTCGTATTCTCATGGCCGAGGTGCCCAGCATCGCCATCGAATACGTTTTCGTCCACAACAACACCTCTGTCATCCAGGATGAGGTTCTCGCACAACGTCTGGGTCTGATTCCCCTCAAGGGTTCCGTGGAGGGCATCAACTGGATGCGCTGGTTCAAGAAGCCCACCGACGACGATCCCAATGGCAGCAACCCCGCCGACTACAACACCATCGTCTTGCGCTTGGACGTCGAATGTACCAAGAACCCCAACGCGGACCCGGAGGAAGATGATCCCCGCAAGCTCTACAAGAATGCGCACGTCTACGCCAAAGATATCACTTTCCACCCCGTCGGTCGCCAGGAACAATTCTTTGCTGGTGATGACGCAATCCAGCCTGTCAACCCGGACATCCTGGTCGCCAAGCTCCGTCCTGGTCAGTCGATCGAGATGGAACTTCACTGTATCAAGGGTATCGGTGCCGACCACGCCAAATTCTCCCCCGTCGCCACGGCTACCTACCGTCTACTCCCCGACATCAAGATCCTCCGCCCCATCATTGGAGACGATGCCAAGAAGTTCGCCAAGTGCTTCCCTAGCGGTGTCATTGGCCTCGAGAAGGTCACCCGTGAGGAAGCCAAGCAGAAGGACAGCGGATATGAGGGCCACGAGGGCGAATTGAAGGCAGTTGTTGTGGATCCCTTCAAGGATACCGTCAGCAGAGAGTGTCTGAGACACGAGGAGTTCCAGGGCAAGGTCAAGCTCGGTCGCGTCCGCGACCACTTCATCTTTAACATCGAGAGTGTTGGCCAGTTCGAAAGCGATACCCTCTTCCTGGAGAGTGTCAAGGTCCTGAAGCTGAAATGCGCAAGATGGAAGCGGGGCTTGACGGACCTTATGCGCTAAGTCAAAGCCATTTGACTCAGCCTTCCGTGAAAAATGATTCAAAGCTATATAATGCATTGGCCTGGCGTTGGATTGTCTTGTTGATTTTGTACATTTACGAAAAGTTGGTGACAACCTTCTTTACACTTGTTGGGAGTCTGGACTGGGATCTTTTTGTGATAGAAAAAGCAGATTTGACTTCCTAGGTCTTGAACATGATCATCAGAGCATCAGCAATTCTTCGTAACGTGTAGTTGCCGGTCCATCACAGCGGCCCTTCGTCTATTGAAACGCCAGTCGGAAGCGGAAATCGATGATATACGCCGGGTCACTGACTGCGATTTCCTGGCCGTCCTCAATCAAGTCCTTCAGCTTGAGCTTCAGATTAGCGCGAGTCTGTTCCTCCAACTGCGGCGGGAACCGTTGGTAGAGTGTCTTCTCCTCCGTCCTCATACTGGGCTTCTTCAGCTGAGCCTCAGGCCGTTCTCCAAGAGTCTCGATGAATTCTTCCAGCGTCATATTTGGGTTCACGGTCAATTTGCGTGCCAGGTTTCCGCACACCGGGCAGTCCGGCTTCTTCTCCGCCTCAAACGTGTACGTGTACACGCCCTCTTCTCCTGCATACATCATATAGTTCTCAAGATACGGGTTGCACGATGTGGCAATCTTCAATGCCTCGGAGGTGGTCGCCGCTGCGATCACAGCATTGGTTGAGGCAATAGCCGGAATGATGTTCTTGACAACTCCCTGAGTCATCTGGAAAGTGACGCCGGAGATATTGAACTGCTTCGCCCGCTCCAGAGCAGCATTGTAGACCCAGCCAATGTGCTCCATGTCGTCACTATCGAAGGCGTCATCTTTGCGCTGTTCCTGCCAGGCAATCTGATGAGCCCATTCGATGCAGTGTTGAGGCTGGCGCGGAATGGTTGCGATGGTACAAAGAGGAACGGCCGGTCGCGGCGCGTGCATATCAAGCTGACACTCAATACAAGAGGAAAGTGTGGGTAAAATTACACGCGCCTGTCCCTTGAATCCTGTTACAGGTCAGTCGTGCTTTGTTTTGTGTCCAGCATAAGTGAGCAAACATACCTTCTGTTCCGCCATCGATGAGTGGCTTCAGACTTTCTGGATCCTCGAAATCGACCATTCCGACCAGAGTCGAGTTGATCCAACGTCTGGCTTCGATGCTATCCAGACCACAGACGATGATCTTGAATTGCATGTAGTAATCTTCGTCTTTGTCTTGGATCTTCCCTACATACGGTGTGATCTTAACCCCCTTAACTCGTCTTTCTACAAAGGCAGCAGCAACCTCAGCTTTGGGCTTGCCTATGTCTGACTGGCGAAATAGAAATTGTCTGTTCAGGTTGGAAATATCGATCGTATCTGCACGTGTTGGTCATTTGTAGTGTCTACAAGTTAGGAAGGACTTACCCATATCAATGACGTGGATGTCTTTGAAGCCTGACAGAGCCAGGTTTTTGAGGATCTCACATCCTAGTCCTCCAGCGCCGCTGTAAGCAGTGCTTGGTTATTATCCATGTATTTCTAAGGGAGTTAGAATTGCCTTGACTTACATGACCCTGCAGTACCGTTAGCGAGCACGACGGGTCCGAAACAGTCAGATACGTACAGAATTTTGGATGACTCTAAAGCACTTATCGTCTCTGGTCCAGGGACCCAATCTTCATCACTGAAGGGTCCGGACTTAGTCAGGACGCTGTATAGATGCTTCCTGGATGATATGAGCAGCTGCAGCTATGGGGTGGAGAATTCTTCTCACCATCGCTGAGGCGAAGTTGTAGCTGCCATTTTCCGATTATGTTGTCTAAAGTAGCCAGGTCGCTAACTATTTGCCTCTACCCAAGCTCTTGTTGCACAAGCAAGTGATCTCTTGCCTCCGAGCTGCACTTATTGTGAGCTCCTGCGCCAGCTTAGATAGTCTGGCGTCCAAGATATAAGCAGAATAATGGCTGCACAGCCAAGAGCTATTTTGCTATGAAATCCGAGTTATCAGATTGTAGACAGCGTGAAGGTGATGGTGGGATGATGAGGATGATGAGTCTCGAATGGTCGTTAGATCGATACAGCACCGCCCCACGTGACCCCTCCGCGCCATACAATTTCCTCCAACTTCCACAACTTGGTCCTCCTTTCCTCGCAACTTTTACGAAGATAATGCCACATTAGTAAAATGGATGGTCTACTTACGGCCGTTAAGACGGTCAAGCACAGCCAGCAGCCCATTTTGTCGGCCGCTGCCGAGGGAACATATTCAGGCACCACATCTAACGGCTCTGAGAACCGGTCCAAAGCCGATCTCCCCGGGGACCCAACATCCTCAGAACATATCCTGGCCATCTTGAAGGCAAAACCCGATGAGCACGAAATTGCTCAGGTTCTAGCCATACTAGATCCATCAAATAAAACAGCAACTCCGAATGGATTTGATATCCGGGTCCCGCGCCCAGTAACAGCGCAAATTCTCAATGCTCTGGTTAGCATTACAATCCCGGATCATTGGGAGGCTCTTGGGCCACAAACCCAGAGTTCAAAGTCTGGTAATTCGAAGCTACGAGCTGCTCTTCTGAGATGTCTCAGCAGCGTTGCGGGTATCAGTTGCTTGGTGACCCAGCTCCGTTCTCTCATAGCTGCGTCCCGTTCATCGGCTGAGCAGGCGAAATCATCCGGTCATAAGATACAGATTAGGGATACACTTGCGGTCATTTCCGCCCTGCTGGAGCCGAGCGACTTTGCGTTTCGCCTTTACGCTGACATGGATAATCTGTACAGCAATGCGACACAGAAGCAAGTGGCTTGGAGGGAGTTGCTCTCGGTGCTTGCTGCCAGTAAAGTATTGTCTACAGCGGCAGAAGCGCTTACTCTGATCTCTGAGCTTGACGGGATTTCTACAATCTCTTGGATCGGGGAAGGCTCGAAATACGCTACCTGGCTAGGTTCAAATATCTGCTATATGGCATCGAAGACTGCTCTCAGTGATGAAGAGGCTTGGAAATCCGTGGCTCTTTTGACTGGGAGGTCGCTAAGCTTGGGTTATACAGGTATTTGAGTAAGTCTTTACTGTTAGGCTTGGTAGGCTAAGCATGATACAGATCAGGTTGTCAAAGAGATCTATACCGGACTTCTTGTTCAGCGACCACTTTCCGAACAGTACAGCTCGCTTTTTGACCATCTCCGGCCAACGGAGCAACTAGCATTGCTCGAGGCTGTCTTTCGGGATCTTGAGAAAAGGCAGTTTTCAGGTGAGATACCTGGTGACAGTGCCAGCAACACCTCGGGACAAGTGGTCAGTAGCGTAGCAGCTCTCTGCTCAATGGCCGTGTCAAAACGGTCACATCTGCAAAGTCAGATAATAGATTGGCTGTCAAAAGGCCAAGGCGGTTCGATCCATTCGCTTGGGTTGCGCCGTGCTCTAGTGGCTACATTAGCACAGGAAGAAGGTAGGAGTAAGCCCGCTTGATAAAGTTTTTCTAACTGACATGGATCACATCAGACTCTATAAATACTCTTCTTAGTAAGAGTCTAGATCAATCAGGCGACAAGTTCTACATTCAGCACGCTCCCATTAGGTGTCAAGAAGGTACTATATCCATGTGTTATGTATAGCAGAAAGGACTAACATATATCAGCCAATGCCCAAGTTGTTCTTCTCGCTGCAGGCTACCTCCAGCGGCTTGATGCTGCAGCAATGATGTTTATTGGACGCACCGGACTCTTCCTGAATACAGTCTCGAACCGCCTAGCAGCGTCTTCGCCCAGAGCGCGCTTTCTCGGCATGCTGATTGGAACTACTATCTCTCAGCTCATCGAGCAGCAAGGTAAAGGGATGAGGTTTGATCTTGAAGAGATGGAAAGTGATGAGGCACATTGGTACTTGGACCTTGCTAAACTACACGATTCCGTTGGGTCTATTGAATCCATTGAATCGCTGAGAGGGCCTCCGGCGACAACTGAAAAGGATACCAAAAACCGAACCTCTAGGACCAATATGCCAAAGAAAGACACCAGAAGAGCAAAGATCGTTGCCATAGAAGAGGCCAATGACTCGGATCAAGAGGATGAAGAAGATGAAGATCTCATCCCATATGAAAAGCCTGATGAAGATCCATCAGATTCTGATGATGACCCAACCTTGGTCCAACGCAACAAACCTACCGCACCAGTGTATGTGACAAAACGAACCGTAACACATATGGCCACTAACCGTGAGTTAGGTACATCCGCGACCTCATAACCTACCTACGCGACACGGAAAACGTAGAGCGCTACGAGCTGGCTGTTTCCACCGCCCCTTCCTTAATCCGACGCAAGACCGGCTTTGGAACGGAGCTTGCTGAGAATACAGAAGAACTGGCACTCGTTGTTGTGGGCTTACAGGAGCATGGGAAGATCCCCAGATTCCAGGAAATCCAACTTCAAAGTATGATCGCACTGATCGTATCTCAACCTCTCAAGATGGGCCACTGGTTCTCGGCCATTTTCTTCGATGGGGACCTATCTCAACCACAGCGCTCTACGATCCTCACAGCTCTAGGCTTGAGTGCTCGCGAACTCGGCGGAAATGGCGAAGCAGACGCTAAAGCACTAGGTCTTCCACGCGTATCCGACGCTTCGTTCCCGTCCAAAAAGCTCCCTGGTAACCTCGAGGCTCTGTATCAGCCTGAGACCGAATCGCCAATCGCAAGCCTAACCAAGCAATTATCACGCGCCTCACTCGAACCACTAGCTGCCGATGCCTCAGATTCCCTGTCTGGGCCCAATGCACTCAAGGTCCGCACATTCTCCTCACGAATGGAAGTCGAAAAGAAACGTCAGCAACGCGAAGCACAGCGACAAAAGTCCACCGCAAAGGATCTATACAGAGTCCTTGCAGATGGGTTCTTCTACCCTCTGAAGGGTCGTTTCGAAATGATGATCATGCAATTTTCATCGTATGTTCTCCTTCCTCCCCAAGTTTTCCACAAGTCATCATCGCTAACGAATCAGTTCCACCGCTCCCTCCTACAACCCCTTCTATGCCCCCCATCTCCTTAGTCTCTTCATCCAAACACTCACACTCATCTTCTCAACGATGGGCCCTCACACGCCCCATCTCGCAGCCGTCACACACGAAACATTGACATTTCTGCTCTCGCTCCACGCTCGCACCATATCAGACGATCCCGGCATCTTGTCCTCGCTTCTATCTCTCTTCCTCGCAGCTGTAGATTTGAACGTCGCCTCCGGGACCTCCGGGGAAGAGCGCCTGGTCACTGAATTCGCCACGCAAGTCATGGAGCTGCAAGAATGGGTAGGAGAGATATTTGATCGGACACTACCGGTCCAAGATACAAGCGATCCGCGAGAACAGGTGCGGACATTAGCTGCAGGTGTCATGGTTAAACTGGGAGAGGTGATAGAGCGATACCAGGGACGGCTGATGGGTGTGAATTCCGGATTCAGGTACTAGTTGTTAATCAAACAATCCCAATAAAGTCTATAACAACCTCAACACGATATACCCAACCTCATTCCAAAATGCACCAACCGTCATGTATGATCCTCTAGAATATTTTGAAGGAGGACATTGACGGTCCTCTTCTCGTTTTGCTTTGCTTATAGAGGTGTCAAACGTGGTGGCTTTAGTCATATTGGTCCGGTCCTATTAGATATGCGAAGTCTCTCTACTTTAGGGTCATGTGTTCTGGATGGATTTGCAAGTGACATGGGAAGCTGCAAGATCATGTCTATCATGCTAAAGCCTCTCTTAAAGTTTAATGGAGATTTACGCAGAACTACAATCTTGAGAGTCAGTGTGAGAAGGCCTCCAGGATACGGAAGAGCTCTCAAAGCACGAGATGGCCGACGAATGTGCCTCACAGTACGCAGCAGAGCGCGAGGCTCGCAATGCTGTCACTCTCGGGCTGAGTGACCAGAAGACGATGCACCAGTTGCCATCGTCTGGGAAGAGCGCCCAGGATCGCCGGAGACAGGCGGCACGTCGGCGTGCTCAGAATGAAAGTGCTGGCAGTCAAGCGGCGACTCAAGGAGACACGGGGCAGAGCGGGAGTCGAAACCAAGCATGACATCGACCAAGTCGATGGTTCAACTCACAGGAGGTGACTTTAGGTTGGATGTTCTTCTTGGGCGACTGAAAAGGCATCACGAAGATGACCTTCATATATCTCTTTCTCCTTCAGCTTGCCGTCAAGGAAAGTTTGTATGTCTGGGGTCCAATATGGCGACACAGTCCGTTCAAACTCCACCATCCCAGCATCATCTAGTTTCGAGTATCTTGGTTGTATGTGATCTAGGAAGATATTGTATAAACCTTTGGGGGTTTCGAGTGCGTGAAAGTACCAGAAACTTCCAGTTGCCCAGCCTCGCCTCATGATACTCGCGAGACCCAAAATTTTCTTTCCCGCTTGAGAGCGATTCTGTTCTTCCTGGTCGAAGACTTCCATAAATTCGGCATGAATCTCACTGAAAGCATCAAGATGTTCTCCTTCGTATAACTGATCCACTCCGCGACTTGTGAGCCAATAGGGCGGATGGAGCATCTCAACCGGTCGTGAGCATGTCCACTCTAGGTCAACGAGTGACTTGATATTCCAGTCGCTGTCGACAAAGAGGTTACTTTGGTGTAGATCCGTCAAGGTCATGATAAACGGCCCACGTCGATGTTTGCGACAGGAGAAATGTGGCAGCAGAGCTCGCATTATGGTCAGAGTTGACAGCTGCGCTTCACCGTCGGCCTTGTCTCGTATCGAATTTGGGACATGGCGTAACCGACTGTCATGATAGGACAGCAGGTCCATATAGTAACTATCGTTTGTCGAATACACGAGGTCTCTGTCCATGTTTGTGGGGACGGACTCGTTTTCTAGATGATGAAGACGAAGTGTTATAGGGCGATTGGTGAGCTTTACAATCCCATGGTTATCGATTGTCAGAGATCCTATTCGGTCGAAAGGAAACTGGGCTAATGATAGTATAATCTGACTCAACCCGCGGAAAAGGTTGGCTCTGCGTTTGCGGTCGTGGCGTAACCTATCCCAAGACTCAGAAAGCATCACAGCATCCGAGCTCCCGACGTGGTCCAAAAGTAAATAACCCGTTTTCAGGCTGTAAGGGCAGTTTCCCACTTGAGTAAGGTGGTCGAATTGGATACCCGAAAAGAGGCGATAGCACACGGTGAAGGTACCATTTTAGGCGGCTGAAGATGGAGGTGTGCTGAATCGCGGTGAACTAGGCCAGGGTTAACTTGGCTCTCAAATCTTCAGCAACTCACTTACACATGGGCCTTGTGCAAATGCGAAGCCCCACAATTGCGGTATGGATATAGAAGGACAGTTCTGCCGAGTCCATATATAAGTTGCAGCCTCGCAGCGAATCTTCTCGTCCGAATTCCCTGGTTGTTGACTCTCTCCCACTCTATAGGGCAGAGGAAACCTCATGAGGACCTTTTTGGATGTTCTACCATCCTGCCCATCAATGACAACTGGGATGCACACGTTGAAGCTTCCGGAGATCCAGTCTTTGACTTCTTCGACACGGCATGTCTGTTTTTTATTTAGATTCATATGATACGACACAATAGATTCGATTACGGTGCGATGTTGATACAAGTATACATAGAAATCAACGCGCCGTTGTGGGTATGATAGCTCTTGGAGGACATTGTCATCGTCGTCTAGAGCCGCAGAGAGACTGATTTGTCTGTGGAGTAGCGGCAGCGCACCCGGCATGCTGGCCGGTCGGGTGGTTTGAGGGATTACAGAGCAAATGAATGTCAATGTAGCCTCTCACAGCACCAAATAAATCAGGCTCAAGGGTTTAAACATTCACTGTCTGGCCTAATGCCAAAAATGCAAGGGTTGGGAAGACTGCTAGGTGACTTAAGGGGATAGAGATAGATGGACAACGAGTTAGAAGAAAGAGTAAGGCCAATGTGCCAAGGCCGCTAGCCCCCTTTCGGGTGGAGTTTGTTCAGGCCTGAGGCCCCCAGCTCCGGTACCTTGGATACTTGGGAGGAACAAAAAACACTTGGGACACATTCTACAAGGCGACAACTATGCACTGCTGCTAATGATCCACATCATTGCCACGCCCTACACTTAGAAAGTTGAAGTTTCATAATTCCTGTTGGGCTTGTGGGACCCCACAGACATGAAATGGGCAGCGGTGCACCAACTTCTAAAGCATTACCTACAGACCCCAGGGAATCATACAGTGTGGGATTGATATTATCATTCGCTAACATTAAGTCTTTACCACCTTTCACTCCAACTTCGCAAAATTCCCCTTCTCGATCGCCGCATCCATCATCCGATCACCATTAATAAGGCTCGTCGTACAAATCACAATCTTCCGCCGGGGAGCTTCCTGCGCCGCAATAAACCTCAACGCCGCAATTTCTGTGAATGTAATTCCGCCCAAAAAGAAAACATAAACGGTCTTGATCGCATTATTCCCGCTGATTGTCTGCCGCGCCCTGATGGCCTTGTCGTCACCCTTCTGTACAATGCTAAACGTAGCTCCACGAGCACTCTTCACTACGTCCTCAAAACCCAGCCATCCTGGGGACGAGGCGCTTGCAGGGCTAGGTGTTGCAGCAGTGACAGGTCCGCCTCTGACAAGAGAAAGAATGTAAGGTTTCTGCAGAACACATTGAACAAGACGGATGCTGAGAGGGGCGAACCCGCTATAGACGTACGCAACGTCATTAGGGTCCTTTTCGCTGACCTCTTCAACGACCAGTCGGAGGTTCTTGCGGAGGTAGCCGTAGTTGGTCTTAGTGCCTGTCTGGGCGCCAGCGGTAGGGAGGAGCATGGTGGTGGCGGAAGAACGAGGCTGAAGAAGTTCCATTTTTTCGAGAGCCCAGAAAGTAAGAAGGTGTTGATGGCCGTAGGCTTGGATGATTTGACGTTTGAAGTTTTCGAGGTCGCGGGGGCGGAGACCACCGGACATGCACGATTCAAGACAGAGCAGACGGAGAATGGTCTTCAGAGGAACATCGCGAGCAATTAGCTCCTCAACGGCGTCGTGATGGTATGTAGCGTCGGCGCCCGCGGCGTTGTTCTGTTGGACTTCGAGAATCTTGCGGAAGATATCTGAGCGAGTGGTTCTCATGATTTCTTCCGCAAGGTTGGTATGGACTCGGAGACTTTGATGTTCCAGTTGATAGGTGGGAAGTTTGTTGACGAACTCGCGAAGCTCGGAGGTAGTTTTGGCGGCATGTCGGCTTTCGTAGTCGCTTTCCAAACGGCGTGCAACCTTGTTCAATATGTCACCTACAATAGCGAAGTTGGCGTCACGCAGCTGGCTGAAAAGTTGGTCGGAGGAGTCTAGTTGGACTTTCCGCTTTTGTCCTTGCTTTGAGGACTGCTGGGGTGCTTTAGAAGACTCCTGGGCCTGAGGCACTGCCGTAGGCCCGACGATAGAGGTGTCCACATCTGCTTGGTTATTCTTGATGCCCACTGTCTCATCGATCAATCCTTCGTAGGTCAATTGTGTCAGTAGCGCAGTCCCAAAGTCGACTTCGCGATCGATGATGATGAGGCTTTCCGTGCTTGCGCTAGGAAGAAGGCCTCTGGCAGAGACTCCAGCAAGACCCGAGCTTTCTTCAGCATCAAGCTCCTTTCTCATCCGCAGTAGGAGGTCTGCAAGGCGTCGGGCATGGTCACCCTTGCCAATGATACGAGGGAAATAGCCATGTCTTTGCTGGATATCCATGAGGGCTTTTGCAGAGTGGAAGATACATGCCGGATCCTTGTGCTGCATGCCACTAGGTGTTAACAGTGTTTGGAACAGGAAGTTGTGCTCTTCCTTACCAGGTACAAGTCGCCAAAAGAGTCTTCTAGCTCCAGGGATAGCACATCTTGTTCCAAAGGGGCGAAGTACAGTGGGAATTCGGCAATATTCACATCGCCTATAATGCCGGCTTCTTCAAGGATGGAATTGCTTACAAGGGTCCGCCTCGGAACCCAGAATATGGAGAGTTCATGTTCAACATTGCCGTTGCGCTGAAGACGCTGAATCTGTTCTAGAGGAATGTTAGCTCATACTGATGGCATTCAATCGGGCGTGATTTGAAAGAAGGCCTTGAGATGAGCTGTATACAAATCTCTCTATGTTGGGATCTCTTGACTGACTACGTAGAGTGGAAGATAGATCTGCGTAATCTACTGTTTGTCCCGAAGAGATATAGAGGCATAGCTTCGCCAATGATCGCATGACGAGGCACAGGATAGAGAGGATTTACAATGGGAGAAGGCGACGGGGTGGTGATCCGGAAGAAATGGACATACCTGCCACGGCCCGCACCTGGCGTATCTTTTCCGCGTGGACTAGAAAGACGACGTTGCGCTGAGAGGAGTCCACGTTGCCATTCTCGAGCAGGAACACGCGATCTACACCGTATTCCTGGAGCAGCGAGAACTTGACGAACAGCCCGACTGGACCAGCCAGATCCTGACTGACGACAAGGTTTTTCTTACCACGTACCTGCACCACGAAATTCAGCCCATGCACAAAGGCGAGGAAGATTGCTGCTGCCTTGAGGGACACGTTGGAGGCTTACTCACGCCTTCAAGGAGAGTTAACAAATCCCTACGCGCCTTGTCCCTAAAATAGTCTGCATCAGACCCTGGATACGGCGCCATGGCTGCGGTGAAGCATGCTCCGGCGATGTGATTGGGAGGGGGAGAAGGGAAGATTGAAGGGAAGAAGACGGAGGGAGGAGAGGAAAGGCGGAAGCAAAACGAAGGCAACCACCAACTCAAAGTGGGAAAGTTTGCACGTTTGCAGCCACTGGTTCGTGGCTGCGAAAAGGGTCCAGCCACCCCATTAGCCGTTTAGGGATTAGTGCGTGCACTGCCTGTCATATTGATGGTTCTGATACCGTCATTACTCTCACCACTACCCATTTTATCTTTCTAGATTGATGTATCAGAATTACCCTCCGCCTTGGGTCTCGACCCTCCATCCAATAATGCCTAAGGAGGCGTTTCCCTGACGGCTGCTGCTCCCCTGACCAACTGGAGTTATTATTATCGTTGGTTTCACATCTTTTGCGCTGGTCCCTCTCTGATCCCCTTTTCTACCTCCATCTGTCCTCTTCTCAGATTCTATCCTCTCGCTCACCGGATTAATCGCTACTAGCATATCCTTGACCTTCTCTCACCCTCACAGCCGACTACTAATCTCTTTCGCATTCCACGCCATGGGCCGATTCGGTTTTAAAAAGTCCGGGGACGACGACGAGGATTCCGGCAACCGTCTGGCACTTTTCGGCTCCAGATCGAAGAGCAAGAGCCCTGCGCCGCCTGCTAACCCCTACGCTAAACCTATCCCGACCGATCCTTACACCAAGGCCAAGATGCAGGCGGGTGTGGCTCCTCTGCCAGCCGGAGAACAACCGCCCGCAGCTGGCCCCTCTGGTGCCCATAACATCCCCGGAGATAACAAGTATCAAGGGTATGCGCCGAATCGATATGGAAACCAAGGCGGTTACGGATCCGACCGCTTTGGTGGCGGGGGTGCTGCTGCCCCTGCCGCTTCTCGGTACGGCCCTGGCGGCTATGGAGGACTAGGTAGCGCCGATCCCAATGACCCCGCGGCGGCGGATGGCAACAGAGATGCGCTTTTTGGAGGGGCTCGGGATCGGGCACAACAACAACAGCAGCAGGCCGGCCCTCCCCCGCCTTACTCCGAGGGCGGAGCTGCCTATGGCGGAGGCAGCAACGAGTACAACACCTCCACTTACCAGGAGCGTCACCTTACTGCTGAGGAGGAAGAGGAGGAGGAAATTCAGACCATCAAACAGGACATCCGGTTCATCAAGCAGGGCGACGTCGCCTCAACTCGCAATGCACTCCGTGTGGCTGCCCAGGCCGAAGAGACGGGTCGTGAGACACTCGCTCGTTTGGGTGCGCAGGGAGAGCGTATCCATGATGCCGAGAAGAGTTTGGACGTCGCTACAGTCGAGGGACGGATCGCGGAGGAGAAGGCAAAGGAGTTGAAGACACTCAACAAGAGCATGTTCGCTGTTCATGTGTCCAACCCTTTCACCAGTTCCCGGCGCCGGCGAGAGCGTGATGAGCGGATTTTGAACACGCACCGCGCTGAGCGGGAAACTCGCGAGGGTACCGAGAAGGAGGCTTTCAAGACCAACCAACGGATGGAGCGCACATTCAGGGACATCGACAAGGAGGCGGCCAAGCAGACCACACGTAACAGGACCAACATCACTGATCGTGCCAAGTACCAGTTCGAGGCGGACAGCGAGGATGAGGCGATGGAGAACGAGATCGAACAGAATCTGGATCTGCTTGGAGGAGCTGCGAGCCGTCTGAATGGCCTTGCTCGGGCGACAGGTCGCGAGCTGGACGAACAGAACCGTCATTTGGAGCGTATCACGGCCAAGGTAAGTCCTTTTGAGATCCTGTCACGAAGTCCAATCTCGACTGACTGCTTTGTAGAGCGACTTTGTCGACGACCAAATCGCCATGAACCGGGCCAAGCTGGACAGAATTCATTAAGCTTGGCCTTAGAACCATTACTGACCGCCTGGTGCCGTCGAATTTCTACTGTGCATATCACCTCTTGCTACCATATCCTTGGCGTTTTGGGTATTATACTACATTATGCTTGCTATCGGCCATTTGGCCATTGTGTTTCGCATACGGAGGAAGTAATAGTCGCGAATAGAGATGTCAACCCTTTTAGCTCATACCCAGGACTTTCC